AGGGAAAGATGGTTTTAAGACAAAATGGAAAAACTGGAAATTGGAAGACGGGGATTGACACATACACACTACTATATATAAAACAGATAGCTAATAAGGACCTACTGTATCGTACGGGGACGTCTACTCAATACTCTGTAATGACCTATATAGGAATAGAATCTAAAAAAGAGTGGATATATGTATATGTATAACAGATTCACTTTGCTGTGCACCTGAAACTAATACAACATTGTAAATCAACTATATCCCAATAAAAATTTATAAATAAATTAATCAAAATTTTTAAAAAAAGAAAAATTGGAGATTTTCCCCCTCTCCATCCTGCAACTTTTATCTTTCCACACATTTACTAGAATCCAAAGGATTCAATGCAGTGTAATGTATTACGGTGAAAACCTGGCAAGAATCTAAATGAATTTTAAAAGGGGACTGGGCAAGTAAATCATGGCATGCACGACTGCATCATATTCTGTTGAAATTAAAAATAAAGATTACAGGGCTTCCCTTGCGGCGCAGTGGTCGAGAGTCCGCCTGCCGATGCAGGGGACGCGGGTTCGTGCCCCGGTCCGGGAAGATCCCACATGCCGCGGAGCGGCTGGGCCCGTGAGCCGTGGCCACCGAGCCTGTGCGTCCGGAGCCTGTGCTCCGCGACGGGAGAGGCCACGACAGGGAGAGGCCCCTGTACCGCAAAAAGAGAAAAAAAAAGAAAAAGAAACAAAGATTACAAAGAATTTAAATGATATGGGAAGTTGCCAGTGATGGAATGTTATGTAATAAAAGAAAGCTATAAATGTTGATACACATTACAGTCTTATGTTTAAAAATGCATGGGAAAAACAAGGGAAAGAAATATATAAATATTTTCTTATTTCTATATTCCTGTATTTTCCTAAGTGTCTGTATGAAGTTGCCATTATTTTTGTTAGAGGGACAATTTAAACATTGTTTTTTAAAAAAGGAAACTCTGTTCCATATTTCATTCCTTCTAAGTAATCACTTGGCTGAAGAAGTGGCTGCATATCACTTCTAAGGCTTCGATGAATTTGAAAGGAAAAGTGCTCAGTCTTGTGCAGGCTTGGAGGAGAGGCAGAGATTCATGGCAGTTACAGAGGAAGGGCATCCGTCTGGAGTGTTTCATCACCTTACAGCATCCTTATAACAAACACACAGGGACAAGCTTTAAAAGCTCAAAGTTAGGAGGGAAATGTGAAAGTCACACTGCTGCTTTGATCAAAGTAGACGATCCAGACCACTACAAAGCAGATGTTTAGAAGGTATGGTTTCTGGGCGTTAACTCAGTCATAGATAATAATCAAGTGTGAATATGTGAATGTGTGTGTGTGTGTGTGTGTGTGTGTGTGTGTGTGTGTGTGTGTGGGTGCGTGTTACAGAGACTCAGCCGCATGGCCCCAAAGATCTATATCATTAATGACCAAACTGATTAATTTTAACATCAACAGGAAAATGCTGAACTTTACCAGCTCAATGTGAAAAACAGATGGGAAAGATCTTCAGATGGTATCTTTCTTTAAAAAAAAAAAAGTAGCAATTGACCTTCACATTATCCTCCCCTTCTTAACGGGGCATCTCCTGCCAGGGATGGTTCTCGATGGTCCACGGCTCCTGCAACCTGGGCTTTCTGCTCCTTTTCTCAGGGAACACATTAATTAGTGCTACCCATCTCTGCATCTTCAGACAGGGAGCTCCGTGTTCCACATGGAAATGGCTTTAAATATTGATGACTAAATCTCAGGTCCCAGAATAGTGTCTTTTCTCCATCATGTGAGATTTCAGGCCTGGGGTCTCTGAGGAAATGTTGAACTTTATTAAATGCAAAGCTAAATCAAAGGATAATACCTAAGATAAGCATTTAGGGGGCAAATTATTTTTTACAGATACCCTCGCTACTTTAATGTTATGAAGGATCAATTCTTACAGTTCCACCCTCTCTTAGAATTACAAAGGCTGGAGGCAGAATTTCATTTGTGAAAGACAAGAGATGCCTTGTAAACGGTAACACTTCAGACAATTCTTTCAGGCAGGAAAGTCCATATTTTGAGTTCTGTTCACTGGAATGAGCCTTTGTGTATGCCAGCCCTTTAGGGCAAGATCAGAACAGAAGCTCTGGAGCCAGACAGCTTGTGAGCTGCGAGATTTGGGTCAAGTCAACTACTGGAGCTATTGAAGCTTTAATTTTCTCATCTGCAAAATAGGTATAATAACAGTACAGTTGTCCCTCGGTATCCAAGGGGGATTTGTTCCAGGAACCCCCTCAGATACCAAGATCCAGGGATGCTCAAGTCCTTTATACAAAATGGCAGCGTGTTTGCATATAACTTATGCACATTCTCCTGCATACTTTAAATCATCTCTAAATTACTCATAATACCCAATACAATATAAATATTATGCAAATATAGTTGCTGGCATGTGGCAAATTCAAGTTTTGCTCTTTGGAACTTTCTGGAAGTTTTTTTCCAAATAGTTTCAATCGGCAGTTGAGTGAACCTGCAGGTGAAGAACGTGTGGATATGGAGAGCCCACGGTATACCTCCCTCCCAGGATCATGGGAAGGACGAAATGAGTCAGTTAGACAGAGCCTGGCATGTGATACATTGTCAATACTACCACTGTGTGCAGAGTTTTTTATTGTCTAGAATCAGAAACATTTTGTAAATATGACCTCTAATTTTCTTCCCCCAGTGAGACTACTGACACTTTTTGTAGTTATAACGACCTGTGGTACCTGAGATTTCAAATCACCTCTTCCCCACCTTCACAATGCCAAATGGCATCATCCTCTCTCTCCAGCAGATTAATTTTGGTTTAAAATTGAGATTCAATCACAATACTCTCTTTTGATACTGCAAATCTACAAATTATAGGTCAAGATTGTAAAGGACTAATTGGATACACACTGCATACTTTAACGTAAAGTTTTAGTCATTGATGGTTAGATTTTCTGCTGCGTTGATTCCCTTTCTGACTAAACAAAATAAAATGCAAACACATCACAAGTAGTCTGGTGATCGTGTTGTACAATTAGCTGCATTTTGCTGACTACTCTAGAAGTTAGAAACATATGTTACCTCAGTGAAGTCAGATTTCTTCTCTGGAACATCAGACTGGAGATTTTTAAGGGCAATGTAATCGTCGGGACTGTACTGGTTGTCCCGTAATCCTAGGCAAAGGGAGATAATATTGCTTTTTTTTAGTATACGAAAGGATAAAATGGAGTATATAACTTTACTATAAAAGTTAATGTCATCTACTCAAGTATTATATGAACCAACAGTGAACCCAGTGTACTCTGACCCTTGGTAAAACCTTGTCTGTTTCCCTCATTCACTCCACCCCTCCATGGTGGCTCTGAGTTCCTTATTACTTAGTTTATCAGGCTGCAAGATTCCTTCTTCCATACCACTGTTTATGTTCCCAGGCTCAGGAATAATTGAACAAGTTTAGCCCTCACACATTCACCCATGTCCTGAGTTTACACCCAGCAGAAGGATCACTTCTATGGATTTCTCAACAGCCCTGGAGTTAAGAAAGCCTGAACTTGCAAGATCGACTTTCATCCAACCTCTTAACACAATCATTTTAGAAGGAGTCTTGAGCGACTCAGACACTGATATTGAAACTGCTTTGGAATATCTGAGGATAATTTTGTGATGATATCTGTGAGGATAAATGAGACACCGTAGACCACCCTCCACATAAGTATCGGCCATAGCAATAGCCGAGAATATCATCAGATCCAAAAGCACAAAGCAGTGGGCCAAAAATTGTAGAACCTGGGCCTCTGGTCCTGGCTCTACCATCCACCAGCTTGAAAACAATGGACAAGCCTACGGAATCGCTCTACGGAATTTCCTCATCCACCCAGCCTGCCCGGCACACCTCGGGGAAAGCTGGGCAGAAGAACAAAGCACTCTGTGAGGCAAACCAGTGGTATTAGGACGTCTGCCTGGGTGTCTTGCCGCTATTGCAAGAATGTGAGTCAAACACAGGAAGGTGGGGTAACGATGAGAGTCTGTGTGGCCCCATCCCCACAGCCCAGGGTCACAATGTCACTTCCACAAATGCAGATATTCTGGGGAAAGTGATTTTCCAAAAGACCACAAAGAATGCTTTCCCAGCGGGTGGTGCTGGTGATGAGAAAGAAGAGATTTAAGAAAGCAGCTCTCTAAATTAGCATATTGTCTTTATCAACTCATGAGAAGGGTTTATGAAAGAATTCAGATAAAATTTAAAGCATTTTATGGGAAAAATGAGATGCTACAGTATTTTCAAGTTTGCAAAGGGGTCAGGACATGGCAATTTCAAGGGCTACCACGGACCCGCCCAAAGCCTATGTCTCGTCTTGTCCTTGGGTGACAAAAGAACCCCCGTCAGCTCGACCTAGACTTGTGGCTTGTCTCCAACTATCCCTGTTATTGAGTGACAGAGACAGTCATCCAAGATGATGTGCACAGATTACTTCCTGTGAAGTGCAAATGTAAGACCTGGAAGATGTCATGGATTTCTGTGCAGAGTCGATACATCATAATGAACTGACAATAAAGCTGATGAAGACGGAAATCTCCTGGCTCTGGTCCTGTGGCACCACATTTAAGAACTCCACAGTCAGCACAGGCCTGGGGCCAGACCGGCCTGGGTCTGCATCCCAGCTCAGCTTACCTGCAGTAGGGGAGTTGCTCACCCTCTCTGAGTTTCTTTATCCATAAAGTGCAGATAGTAACACCTCCTGCCCAGCCTTGCCATCTGTGCACTAAGGGTAATGTATGTAAAGTACTCAGGCTGGGGTGGGATGCGGGGTTAATGCTCGATAAACGACCCTGGTTATGATTGTTAATGAGCAGGACCAAGGCATCCGTGCTCACTGGAATCAGGCCACAAAGTCCCAGGGTCTCTAGCTATATGTGAGACTTTGGGCAAGTGACTCAGCATCCCTTGGTTCCTTGCTATGAAATGGAGATCGTGGTGCTTACTTCACAGAGTTCCTTAAAAAAGGATAAGTGACCTAAATCACTAGCCCGTAGCACAATGCCCAGATTATAACAACATGCAACAAGCATTAGCTATGGAGAAGTGTCATCATCTCTAGCAGGGAGGAGGGAGACTGCCACCGTCAGACAAGCAGTGGCTGTGTATGAGTGTCTGATCGCTGTTGTAACAAATGGCCACAAACTCAGTGGCTTAAACAACACAAACATATTATGTTACAGTTCTGGAGGTCGGAGTCCAATACGGGTCTCCCTGGGCTAAAATCAAGGTGTCGACAGGGCTTCACTCCTGTGGGAGGGGCTGGGGAGACCCTACTTCCCGCCTTTCCACCTTCTAGAGGCTGCCACGTTCCTTGGCTCATGGCCCCTCATCACTCCAAACTTTGTTTCCATCATCACATCCCTTGTGATTAGATTGGGCCAGCCAGATAGTCCAGGATAATCTTCCCATCTCAAGGTTCTTAATGCCACCGGCAGAGTCCCTTTTGCCATGCAAGGTAATATATTCACAGGTTCTGGGAACGAGGACGTGGACGTATTTCGGGGGACCATTATTACGCCCATCACAGCCTAGCTGGGGAACCTGAGGTAGATGTATTGGTTGGCATGTAGGGCCTTTAAAATGATGACACTGTGGCAAAGTACTTACAATGCAACATTAACTGAAAGAAAGGAATCAAAGTCTTATGAACCCCAGGATTGCAACATTCAAAAATTTTTAAAATGTGTGTGGGAATTCACACAAATGGCAAAGTTGTAACTTAGAGTTATGAGCCTGTTTTTGAGTAAAACTGAGGTGTGACTACAGCCATGCATGAGGGTGCCTGATCAATTGATGACCCCAAAGGCCTCAGGAGGGGGATTATCAGAATGGTTAAAAGTACAGACTTTGGGGAAAGAAAGACCCTGATTCAAATCCTTCTCTGACACTAACCATTTGGGCAGTTTAAGTCATTTTGGGCAAGTTCCTTAAATTGTCAAGAGTCTCATTTTCCCATGTGTCAGAGGAAACACAAGACCTGTCTCCTAGCGGGGTTACAAGGAATCATGTGATGACAAATATCAAGAACTTAGCAGAGTGCCTGTCACGTGGTAACGCCTCCCCGTCCCTTCCCACCTGACCACGTAACTGTCACTACTGATAGAGCCCCCCTCTATTGGGTGGCCCTACCCTGGCATCTCTGAGTAAGGCAAAGCCAGTGGACATTTGGGGCAGGTTACCGAGAACAAGACTGACAGGAGTTTGGGCATTTTCCAGCGCCTGGGATTGGTGTCCCCAGTACAGAAATTTGCAGAAGCCAGGACACATGGCACCTGGCCTTGGTTTCTGGAAGAGATCCTGCTGCAAGGGCAGGAGGTGGCCAGGCCAGTCTGCTCCGTCTCTCCACAGTGCGAGCTGGTCATTCCCAGAGCTCTCGCAGGGGCAGGTGCCTGTCCCAGGGCCAGCAAGTCAATTTCACTCCGCATCGGGAAATGGTTCCAGTTAAAAGGAAACTGGCAGTGGGTGGGTGGGTGGGCCCTGCACACCTGTAGGACAGACAGGGCTTCGTCACAGGAGTCGGGGAGTCCAGGTCCAAATACTAGTTGTGTGCCTCTGTGTAGTTTACGTAACTTCAGGGCCTCCAGTTTCCCTGCTATGGATCTAGGACACTGAGCTGACTCTATTCCTGCCCTGCCCCGTTGCCTTGCTGCCCCCGGCTGCTGGGAGAGTAGCAGTCAGAGGCTCACGGCTTTGCTCGTCTCTGAGAACCATCCTCGACAAAGGCTATACTTTTCTCCACCTTGGCCACAGCCAGTGGTGACTCTGAGGGGTACAAAAGCCAGGGTAACTTTTTTGTTTGTTCCAGAGCATAAACCAGACTGCACCTGAGACCCATCCTTCCTCAGCACCTTTCCCATCAGGCCTCCCTCACTCTCTCTCACGGTTCTGTCCTGAAGAGCACCTCCTCCCTCATGCCCCCTAATCCCTGCCTCAGGCTCTGCTTCTTGGAAGCTCAACATAGTTCCAGCTCACGGTGCTGGCTAATAGTGGGGGCTCTCAACGTGGGTCCCCATGCCAGCAGCCTCAGCATCACGGGGTGACTTGTTAGAAATGCACATTCTCTGAAATAATGCTATATTTGCAGCAACATGGATGGACCTAGAGATTATCATATTAAGTAAAATAAGTCAGGCAGAGAAAGACAAATATCATATGATATCACGTATATGTGGAGTCTAAACAATTATACAAATGAACTTATTTATAAAACAGAAATAGACTCACAGGCCTAGAAAACAAACTTATGGTTACCAAAGGGGAAGGGGGGGAAGGGATAAATTAGGAATTTGGGATTAACATATACACACTACTATATATAAAATAAACAACAAGGTCCTGTATAGCACAGGGAACTATATTCAATATCTTGTAATAACCTACAATGGAAAAGAATCCGAAAAAGAACATATATTTTATATATATATTAAAAAATACATATATATATATAAAATGTACCCAAAACATTCAAATCAACTAATACTTCAATAAAAACATTAAAAAATAAAAATGTTTATAGAAAGAAATGCAGGGACTTCCCTGGCGGCCCAGTGGTTGGGACACCATGCTTCCACTGCAGGGGTCGTGGGTTCAAGCCCTGGTCAGGGAACTAGGATCCCACATGCCTCCTGGGGCGGCCAAATAAAAAAAGGAAAGAAATGCACATTCTCAGGTCCCACCCACTGACCTGCAGACCTACTGATTCAGAAACTCTGGCGCAGGACTCAGCCTTCTGGGCTTTACTAAGCCTTCTAGGACACTCCACGCAGCTCAAGTCCAAGAACACTGTCGGTCTCAGACTAACAAGCTCCTGCATGGATGGTGACTTTAGGCCCTAGAAGGTGATGGCAGTGCTTCTGATTTACCGTCATCCCACGGCTTTTAGAAAACCACACCCAGGGGATCAAAATGGGGCTTTTTCTCAATGCTTACAATTAGAATGAAGCCATCGGGAATGGCAGCAGGCTGTTCTTTTGAAGCGAACTAAAACTCAGCCTGGTGAGCCACCCACTCATGGCTGGTTAAAGAATTGATTGTGTGCGGTGCTCAGGGCCCTCTGTGTCCGGGGAGAGTGTCAGTGCACGGGCACATCTGATGAGGGTTTCTCTCCCGTGATGGTTGGAAAGATGGAATTGCTTCTGTCTCCACCAGCCTGAGACATTCCTCCACAGCCACGCCTGCCCTGGAGGCCTTCCCGGAGGCCAGGCGCAGAACAACACGAACTGAGCATGAGGTCCTGACCCAGGTTCTTCTGGCATCCAATGTCCTCCCTGGAGGGAAGAGTGCTTCAGGGATGGGACCCATGTGAGCGGGAGTTTATGCCGTGCTCAGGGTGATGGAGGCCCCGGGCTGGACGGAGCGGCAAAGGCAGTGAGAGGCTGTCCCCTCCCACAGCTCTAAGAGAAAGTCACAGTCTGGCTACTTCTGGTGCCAATAAGCCACCGGGAGAGCCCTGCCAGCCAAGGGACCCAGGAAAGGTGTGGGATGAGGTGGATTTAGACAAAAGTGGATGTGGGGTGGGAGGAAGCGGCGCAGCCCGAGCAGAGGCAAAAGAGAAAAGTGGAAACGGCTTAAGGGAAAGTGTGAGAGCAGAGAAATCCAGCAACTCTGGGAAATGGCAAGCAGCACGTTGCGTGAAGCCTGGGATACAGGTAAGGCATTGCATACAATTCCCATGCGGCACCTAGCATGGCTTGAGTTGTCTGTACAAAAATAGCCAACGAGCCACATCACACATTGACTAATGAACCCATCCATCAAAGTCATGTGTAAATAATGAACGCCCCAGCCTTTCGTTGGTACACAGAGCTTGCTTGTTTTCGTATCTCTATCATGTGTCATCAAAGTCATGTGTAAATAATGAACGCCCCAGCCTTTCGTTGGTACACAGAGCTTGCTTGTTTCCTATCTCTATCATGTGTATCAGGGACAGAGATGGGACAGTCACATTCCCGCTTCATAGACTGTAAACGCTTCCCTCATTTCTAGTCTGATAGGAGGCAAGGTTTACTCGGAATTTTCACCTGCCCTCAACGATACCCCTTTCTTATTATTCTAAGTAGATGTTTCTCAGAGACAATCACTTTTCAGATTTGAATTAAGCTAATCACCTCTGTGAGATCTGACCCTGTTAACCACTCGGTGCCTCTGGACCATCTTTTCACGGTTGACTTTTGGAACGATGGGGTCTTCTTTCTGGCTTCTCCCTCTTGGCTACTGTGTCTTCCTTTGTTTAGTGGGTTCTCTCTTTAACTCCCTCTGGGTCCTCCTACCAAATCTCAGACCAGTGCCAAGGAAGGACCCAGACCTCACCTGTGGGCACCAGCCCTTAGAACCAGCTGCCTTCAAGGCCCCTCAAACTCAGCTTTTCCAAAAAGGGACCAATCAACTCCCCTCAAGCTGCTGCCACTGCAGTCTCCCCCTCCCCCTCCCCTTCCTTCCCCTCCCCTTCCTCCCCCATATCCATTTTCTTGGCAAGTGGCCACCATCCTCCCATCACACACAATAGAAATTGAGGTGCCCCCTCCACACCCACCCTTTCCCTCACTGCCAATGTCCAGCTAACACCCAAATCCTGATTTATCTCATGAAAAAGGCTCTGCTACATCTCATCAGCTTAATCTTCCCTGAACTGCCTGGTCTCAGCAAGGTCACAATCAAGTGGTGATGCCAGCAGCCTCGTCTCCTGTCAGGTACCCCCAAATCCCCTTGACATTGCCAGTTTGTGACCTTGTGAAGGTCACATGCTCCTCTGAAAACTCTAATGAAAGGGATACATTTCCCCCCTCAGAACAGGACCTGGGAAATATACACATAACAATCTGATCCCATGTGCGTGGGGTGCTGGGGCTCAAGGAGACCAGGATATGGGCATATATCTGGACAAAACTGTAATTCAAAAAGATACATGCACCCCTATGTTCATAGCAGCACTATTCACAACAGCCAGGACATCGAAACAACCTAAATGTCCACCCACAGATGAATGGATGAAGAAGACGTGGTGTATATACAGTGGAATATTACTCAGCCCCAAAAAAGAATGAAATAATGCCATTTGTATCAACATGGGTGGACCTAGAGATGATCATACTAAGTAATTCAGACAGAGAAAGACAAATACCTTATGATATCACTTATATGTGGAATCTACAATATGACACAAATGAACTTATCTACAAAACAGAAATAGATTCACAGACATAGCGAATGGTTGCCAAGGGGGAGGGTGGTAGGGGACGGATGGACTGGGAGTTTGGGATTGGCAGATGCAAACTACTGTATATCAAATATATAAACAACAAGGTCCTACTGTATAGCACAGGGAACTATATTCAGTATCTTGTGGAAAACCATAATGGAAGAGAATGTATGTTTATGTATAACTGAGTCACTTTGCTGGACAGCAGAAATTAACACAACATTGTAAATCAACTAGGCTCCAATAAAAAAATTTAAAAAAAAGAAATAATCCAAAGACTTTGAAGTTTAAAAGTCTATTAAGTAAAATTATTTCCATGAAATAATTCTCTAATAAAATCTCTCCCAAGTTCCAAAAAAGAATTGAAGAAAGGAGATCAGGATACAAATCCTTTAAATAAGCCTCCTTCTCTTTCCTGGATGTGGCTGCTTCATCGTCTCTGTGACTTTGGCCTTGGATGACACCTGCCCAACTTTCCCAGGGGGCTAACTCCTCTGCACAGCTCAAGATCACATCCTCTCAGAAGGGATCCTAGGCCTGCCCCCACCCCACATGCCTTCCAACCTGTGTTGCCACCTGTATTCATTTCCTAGAGCTACCATAACAAATCACCACAAACAAGGCAGCTTAAAACAATGGCAGCTTATTCTCTCACGGTTCTGGAGGTGAGATGTCTGACACCAAGGTGTTAGTAGGGCCGTGCTCTCTCTAAAGAATCCGGGGGAGAATACATTCTTGCCTCTTCCTAGCTCCTTGTGGCTGCCGGCCGCGCTTAGCATTCCTTGGCTTGTGGCAGTCTCACTGGCCTACCTCCATCCTCACACGGCCTGTGTCTCTGTGTCTCCAAATCCCTCTGTCTTTATAATGACCCCAGTCACTGGATTGAAGGCCCATCCTAACCCAGTATGACCTCATCTGCAAAGACCCCATTTCCAGATAAGGTCCCATTCACAGATCTGGGGGTTAGGACTTGAACATGTCTTTGGCGGGACACAATTCAACCCAGCACAGTGCTCCCTGACAGGCTGGCATCACTGTGTGTCCTCACTACGCTGTCCTGTAATCGTCTGCTCTGAGTCTGCCCCCCAAGGTGACAGAGGCCTTTGGAGGACGTCTCATCATCACCTTCGCCTTGTGCTCAGTACAGTGCCTGCCAGCTAAAGACATTCGCTGAGTGTTGACTGAACGAACAAATTGTATATATATATATACATATATATATATATACACGCGGGCCTCTCCCGTTGCGGAGCACAGGCTCCGGAAGCGCAGGCTCAGCGGCCATGGCTCACGGGCGCAGCCGCTCCACGGCACGTGGGATCTTCCCGGACCGGGGCACGAACCCGTGTCCCCTGCATCAGCAGGCGGACTCCCAACCACTGCGCCACCAGGGAAGCCCCGAATTATATTTTGATAAGAGTTTTATCTATGGGAAAAAAATCAGAACATACCTTCCTCTGAAAGTTTGATCATATTCCACTGATGTTTCAAAGACATTTTACTTAGATTCAAAGGTCTTTTAATGACAAGGATGCACTCGGCTAAAGGAAAGAAAAGTCGGCCACAGTTTACATCTGTAATTCCTCTCAGAATTAGTCAGGCTCCCACCTTCCATGCTGGGCTGAAGAACCTCCAAACGCTCTACCTGTGATGAAGTCGCCAGAATGTTTCCATGGCAACTGGGGAGGGGGTGGGGAGTCCACCCGGTGCTATTTCTCCTGAGCAGGAATAGCAATCATCACTCTGACATTTATATCTGAGGCTTTGTTAGCAAGTAAAACACGTTTGCACAACAATTAAAGTTTTCTGCAGAGCACTGTTAGATGTGAGACAAAGAACTGCTGCCTACAGTCAGATACACAAAGAACTGCTGCCTACAGTCAGATACACATTTCCCCTCAACTTCTCATTTTTACTTTATTATTTTTCACCTTGTTTTGATGACGCTGGTTCTCTTGCCAGGCAGCATTTTTACCGTGGAAATGTTCCCTTAGTATTAAAATACATTCAGATAACACCACAATGTTAATTTGTTTACCCTGCTTGTAATATGTGTTACCAATTTTTGCAAACCGGTTTATCTAGAAAATTGGGCAACACAGCAGTCTGCTTACCGTGCAAGCTATTATAAGAATGATCAATTCCTACAATTTAATAAAACACCTTTGACACTAAATTATAATGACTATTGTTTTCTAATGTATACCCAATCACGTTTGAGGTAGCTTATAATTAATAACACAGATAAAAACCTGCCAAACTGTGATAAAAGAAGCAAGCAATGAGCTGGAGAAATCATTGGACCATAAAGTCTGGGCTAAAGATGACCCTGGCACAGAATAATCACAAACTAAGGGTGAGTTTGCAGCAGCCAAGGCCAAAGCGGGGGGACGTGAAAAATTGCATAACTCATTGCCTTTCAAATGAAATACACTGTTTCATACGGAGAGTGGTTTTATCCCCTGGGACAAGGCGTTGATAGCATGTGTCTTTATATAAATGGACAGCACCTTTGTAAGCTGGTTCATAAACACCAGGACAATGTAAATTTCACTGGACAACCCCAAGGTGCTTTGAGTCGGGTCAGTGTCACTATTACGCCATAATGGCTAAAATTTATTGTGCGATCACAGCAAGACAGATATTGGATACAAAGGTTATCTCCTTTAACACTTGGAATGACCTTTAGAGGAGAGCACAATTATTATCCCCATTTTACAGATGAGAAAGCTGAGCCTAGTTGTAGTAACCTGCCAATCATCACCCGTCCAATAAGCTTCAAGCTGAGAGTTTGCAATATTAATGATCACTGCACAGGTAGCAAAGGTAGAAATGGAGCAGAATCTGTAGGATCTGATAACCTCTCCTATGAGGCTTGAGAAAGTGGACGGCACAGACTGGGTTTGGGCGTCAGAGGAGCTCCCTCACTCTATCGCTGTTTGCTCCTCAGTTAAAGGGGCAAACGGAAGGGCTGAGAAATATGAAAAGTTTTCACGGGCCAGCACCTTGCCTGTCAACATCGGGCCCCCCCACAAATGGAACGTGTTATTAGCTGCAGTTTTACATAATTTTCATCTCTTCCAGAAAATGATGGAGTATAATACAGACGTGCCCAATAATGAATAAAAACCTGCCCACTAATTCTGTCTACTTGGGCTCTAGCTGATTTCTGAGACACCCGGAACTGGAGGCACCGTGCCTCTGCCCTTGGTGCCCGGGCATGGCTCTGGGGTCTACCTTTCTGTGGCAGGAGCAGGGTCCCCCCTGGAGGACCGGGTAAAACCACAGGGCGCAACTCGCGCGCATGCGCCAGCCCTCTAAACCGCGAGGCCCCGCTCACATGGGCGGCATTGGCGGGGTCACGCCACAACCTCAGTTCTGCCAAAAGTTACTGGGAATCTGACGTCTTTGAGGACCTAGGTCAGGTGCTGGGCTAAGGAAGATGAATAGAGCACAGGAGTTCCCATCTTTAAAGAGCTCAGAGTCCGATGAAGGAATAAGACGCATAACGAGACCTTTTTCAATGCAACGTGGATTTGATCATTTCCTCTTATGGGCTTCCCCCCTCCCCTTACTTGTGGTAAAATACACAAAACACAAAATTTACCATCTTAGCCATTTTTAAGTGTCCAGTCCTGTGGCATTAAGCACATGCATCTACACCGTGTTGGGCAAATATCACCCCCATCCATCCACAGAACTTTTTCATTTTCCCAAACTGGAACTCTGTCCACCTTAAGTCATAACCGCTTCCCCCTCCCCCAGCCCCTGACCACGGCCATTCTACTTTCTGTCTCTATGAATTTGACTTCTATAGGGACCTCAAATGAGTGGAATTATACACTGTCTGTCTTGTTGTGACTGGCTGATTTTACTCAGCCTAATGTCTTCAAGGTTCATCCATGTTGTTTCATGTGTCAGAATCTCCTTCCTTTTAAAGGTGAATAGGAACTTCCCTGGCAGCCCAG